AAACCTGTTTCATCTTCACACTAAAATATACTGAAACTCTGTTTATTAAACTTTCTGAAACAAACTTTATTCTATATTTTATGGCTCGATTCCTCTGCTAAGCATCTTTAATGGAACATGAATTGAGTTTTAACCAGAGGGGATTGTAAAGCAACAGCGATAAGTTACTGGAACAATAAACCAGATAATTAACTGATATTAAATCTTATAGTTCTCTAAAAATCTGCAGCATTTGCTGTTTACCAATTAAAAGTTCTGTCAGCATTTAGAGCAACAACTTTCTCTGATTTATTAGGGAGGCAGGGTGAATGTTCTGCAAAGCTGAAACTTTAAAAACATGAGACTAAATAGCTGCTATTTCTACCAGGATTTAGCTTTAAAATGGGAGTTTTGGCAGCAAAGCCCCGACTGAGAGGCGGTGAAAGAGATGAAGATGGTCAAAGGAGGGACCAATTAAAACCAGGATGACTAAAAACTGTCAGCGTGCCGGTGGAGGGCGAACTGCCAGATTCATCCGAGTGGTTTTGAGAGAGAGCAGATTTCCATCCCTGGAACTATAATTAATGTTATACCAGGAGACAACGGAATAATCTTCCAAATTAGGGCCAGTTTATTCTGAGGAAAATTACCCACGAGGTGCAAAAACTAATTAATGCATCCGAGTTTCTTTGTGAAAGGAAATGAAGACCTGACTGAAGTTTAACTGCAGACTCTGCAGCAGGAATCTGCATCACAACGCCGCATGTTGGAGTTTAGCTGCAGAGGCAGAGAGGCTGGGATAAAACAAGCAAACCGACTGCTTTTGATGAAGACGCGCAGCAACGTGCAACCTGAATGATGAAGAGCACCAGGGGTGAGGAGGTCAACTTCCCCGTTTAACTGCAGGGCAGCTCCAAAAATCTGCAACATTTCAGAGAATGAGCCTGTTCTATAGATCTATCACATGTAGAGTGGAATATTTCAGCCTTTATTTTGTAATTCAGTTGATTCTCAGAATGAAAACCCATCAGAACTTTACATCAGATCAATAAAAATGTAAACGTTTTGAAGGCTCATGTATGTCTGGAAGGCGTCACTGTTTCCTTCCACTCAACTTTCTATGCAAGTCCTTTGATGCGTCGCTTTGTGAACAGCCAGCCTCTTTAGAAGGTTTTATGACTGAGAGTCACTCAGGAAACCTTTACAGGTGTTTTAATTAGCTGATGAGGGCGTGGCATATTTAACGTTTTCATAATATTCTGATTTTCATTCTGTGAGCCAGAACTCTGATGACCCGAAATAAAGGCTGAAACATTTCACTGTGTGGTGCTTTTATTTTGAAGCTGCAGGCTTCTCGTTTGACCTTGATGGCTACTAATTTATCGACGTAGATGCCTAATGAAGACTTTTAAAAACCAAAAAGCACAGAAAGCTGGTGAGTCGCTCATCTGCTTCTTGAAGCCGGATCTCCTGGGTTCGGTCGTTGGAATGGCAGAATGTGGCTCCGTATCGCCGCGCTCTTCATCGTGAGCTGCACTTTAAAGCTGCAGTAATAGCAGCCATTTTCTCCTACAGGGAAATATTTACCATAAGTGCACTTCAGCTGGATTGTTGCTACTTGACTCCTCCTGGAGAACATAAAGGCTTGGAGGAGGATGTGAAGGTGAACACTTACAGTTGCTGATTTTTCAAGGAGTTTCTGCTTCAACACCACAAAATAAAAAACTTTCTGAAAAAACTGGAGCAAACTCTCAAATCAGAAATGAACAAACACAGTAAATATGGTGAGTCATGACACTCAACATCATCAAACTGCTGGAGGACCGAGAACTGGCTAGGATGGGTATCCATGGCCACAAGGTATTATCTTTCTAGCTTGGAGCAGCTAATTAGCATCTCAAAAGTCCAAAATAATACCTGACCTTTGACCCCAAGGAGTTGAGAAGGAGGAAGACGGTCCATCTCTTCCATCCATAATCATGACTCATCCCCTACTCCAACAGAGCAGCGGCAAAAGCAAAGGAGGCTGGTTAGCAGCGCTAGCTAACAACGAACTGACGATACCAGATATGAATTATAATATTTCATGTCCTTTTGGGATAAAGTATTTTTGAATTTATTTTATTAACCTTTATTTAAATCCCTGTAACCAAACTGATGACCGTAGATTTACAGTAGAGGAAACTTCCATCATCAGTTTGGACCTTAAAACCCGTTTAAATGAACTCAACTGAATTCTGCCAAACAAACAAACATCCCTGTTCCTCCATGTCCTAAACAAATCACCTCCAGAAATCAAATGTCCTGCTTGTGTTTCAACTTTTAATAGTTGGATATTCCCGAGTTGTAAATGAATCTGCAGAGTGGGTTTCCACTCAGACGGAGTTCTCCAGTGGGACTGTGGAGAACCGTCCTGCAGAGACACTCAAGGACAGTTAGTGGTGAGAAGCAGCCTCAGCTGGCGGCCATGTTGGGTTGATTGCTCTCTGACAGCCGCGCAGCAGAGTGGAGAGGTCAGTATTGATCCACATCAACTCATCCAGCAGTGGATTACAGCTTCAGCCGCTGCATGCAGCTTATTTCTAGCTGCATGCAAGCTTTTTGTTCATCTTCAGTTAGCGACAGGATTTGACACCTTTGTTCGTCACACAGAAACTCGTCTTCCAGCTACGAGCTCCGCCACCATTTATTGAGACCAGGATGATGTGTAATAAATGTTACACATCATCCTGTAAAGCTTCACGTACGTTAATCATCTGATGCTGTGTTCAGTCTATAAATACACCTGCAGCGCTCTGAACCGCCACCAGGCCCAACAAGCAATGACCCGGCCCGAACACGATGCGCTAAATAATATCATCATTTCACGAAGCGTCAGGCAGATACATTTTCCTCGAGGAATCGTTTCAGGCCAAGTGTCGTCCATCGTGAAGTCCGACCCTCGAAGGGAAACGTCTGATGAGCAACAAGCGAATCGTTGAATCCTCCCAACATCCAGCTGGACGGTAAACTGTCGCAAGGTCAAACAATATAACATAATGGCAAATTAATGGAAGAACACATCGTCACAGATCAATAAACTTTAAATTCTAACATTTTTTACTGGAACTGGAAGGCATTTTAAATACCAAAATAAAACAATATATTAAATGAATTATGTTGTTCAAAAGAGGAGAGAGATGAACCCAAAACACCAGACTGAGACTTTTATCACCTAGAAAAGAGAAACAATAAATTATTGAGTTTAATTTATTTTAACACGTGATTAATGGATTTATTTCTTATTTCTAGCTGATCTTACTTTTCTCTCCACGTCTGGTATTATAACTTTCTGTCACATTAGAGTTAAAATATTGTAACTTCTGCAGCGTTTTGTTGCCATTCTGCTGTGAAATGTTGCTGCAGAGTTTATTTAATCTCCATCTTTGCTTCCTGGATGCTTCGCTGTAAATGTCACACAGCAGCTCCACAGTGGGCCTGTCAGGTTGGGCTGCTGCTGCGCTGCAGAGGTCATGCAGAGGTCATGCACACGATGCATCTCCAACACGGCGCGTCCCACTGAGCTGCTGGTCACCTGGTTTATTCTCATTCAGGCTCTGCCGTCACATTCATTCGTGAAAAGGACCTAATCCAGCATGAGGAAACCTAATTAAGCAATAAAACACCTTTGATTGGTTAATTCCAGGCTGTATTTGATTTCAGCTGCGGCTCAGATTTATTTGAGCTGCAGCAGCAGAGAGTGAGGACGACGCTTTGGTTCTGCTCCGGTTTAAACTGGATCACTCACAATTTAAGATTAATCAGCTAATGAACCGAAACACAAGTTTATTAAAGACAAACATTTTGGTGAGCTGAATTTATTTTTTACTGATGGACGTAGAATTACTTTGTTAAAAATGTGAGATGTTGTCTGATTTTGTTCAAGGCAACTTTTACCTTCAATATCTAGTTATTATTTTATCATTTTGGTTTTTATTTTCGATTAAACAGTTAAGAGAATAAACCTTGACAGTAATAAAATGATGACAGCTTTTGGGTGTATTCTTTTCTTTTCAGTTGATAAAACTAATTTTAATCAACATTAAAGTATTATTGACCTAAAACAAACTTTGTTTATTTTTGTCTTATTTAAAATAAGACAAAGCAGTTTTGTCTGAACAAGACAAAGCCATTTAGACAAAGCTAAATGGCTTTATCTAAATGTTTAGACACTTTAGTGCTTGGTAAGAGTTTTACAGTGAAGGCACTTTTTGAAAGCATAAAGTCAAAATAACAGTAAATAGCAGGAGAATGTGCTGAGAGCTTCAGCAGTTGATCCCGTTTTCTGTTAGTTGGTCCTGGAAACATTTTGAGACGTTCTGACAGTTTTGTTGCTCAGGTTTTCGATGAGCTGTTGTTTCTTCCTGCTGGGGTCAAAAGTCGCGGTTGACAGAAATGAAACCTTTTTGGATGTAGATGTGATGCAGTCAGTCAGTTTGTGGTTTGCTGAAGGTTTTGCTGATCTTTTGTTCCACCAGCTCAGCAGATGGAGGAGCAGCTCTCTGTTTCTCTGTGTTTGGTGGAAAAAGGCGAAGCGTTTTTACGGTGGAGATGATTGCTGCTGGACCCGGCCGGCGGCGGCCATATTGACACAGACCTCCGTCTCCAGCAGAGGGAGGTCAGAGAGGCGATTGAATGAAAGCAGGAGAGATAAAATGAGGCATAAAGGTGAAATCTGGCGACGGAGTGAGAAGTTCTGTAAAGGTCTGAGTTTTATTAAAGAAATGCCGGGTTGAGTTGCTGACTTCACAGCTCTGTGGGTTCTGTTGATGAATTTTTCTCATCAGAATTCCAGGAAAATGTTTTTACTGTTGCTCACGTTAACAAAGTCCAGAGCGGTGGAACCAACCGGAGGGTTTTTTGGATCAGAACCGCTCACTTCTACAGAATCTGTAGATTCTGGAGAGACGATGAGGAGCAGAACCGTTTGTGTCCAGGATGAGTTGGACCTTCTGGTGCTGATGTTTTGTCTCCCTGTCCAGGTACCTGGCAGTGACCCAGTTCAGCCCGATCCACGCCCGGAAGGCCTTCCCCTGCTTCGACGAGCCCGTCTACAAGGCCACCTTCTCCCTGAGCCTCCGCCACGACCCGCAGTACACGTCTCTGTCCAACATGCCGGTGGACAGCAGCTGGCCGGACGAGGACGGCTGGCTGACCAGCCGCTTCGCCCGGACGCCCCGCATGTCCACCTACTACCTGGCCTGGGCCGTCTGCAACTTCACCTACAGGGAGACGCAGACCAGCGGCGGCGTGGCGGTGAGTCTCCTCTGGGAACGCCGTTCGTTCCTTCGTTCGTTCCTTCGTTCGTTCGTTCGTCTGTTTGTTTGTTTGTTTGTTTGTTTGTTTGTTTGTTTGTTGGAAGTGAAAAAATGTCTGATGGAACCGGAGTAAGAACGAATGCAGCCTGTTTTCTCTCACATCCATCAGCCCTCATCTCTGGGTTGAAACAGGAGATAAGAGCTGCAGTCATTACCATCACACAATAATTGACATAATTAAGCTGTGATTGGGGGAATAATGGCTTTATATCAGCAGCCGGCTGAAGAAAACAAGCGAGGATGAATGAGTGACGGTGCAGATTCAGCTCTTTAAAGCTTTTAGATGTTGGATCTCTGGGATTGAATTTAAATAACGCCGACCTCTGAGTGTTTATGGAGAAAATCATTTTTAATCATCTCTACTGTTTCTTTTACAGCTTGTTTTGACTGAATATTTTTCATGTTTAAAAAAGAAAAACCTCCAATCTTGTCCATTTGAGCTGATCAGTTCTGACTGTTGATACGTCAACAGCATAACAGCAACTTAAAATAAACTTCAGAGTGAGAAAGGTTAAGGTGGGCGGAGCCAATATAGCTGGGGGTGTGGCCAAGTAACTCATTAGCTCTTCCATGTGCTGCGTTCACTGATAATGAGGAAGTTCTGTCCACCAGCTGAACTTCTGTTGTAAAATGATGAAATCTGGAAACGTTTAAGCGGTGTGAGTATTTCTGAGAGCTGGTTTGATGCTGGCTGATGCTGCTGGTCCGTTGGGATGAAATGAGACGTCGGTTTGCCGAAGCTGCAGCTCCTTCACCTGCAGTCTGCGGAGCTGAACCTGCAGGTATCAGAGGATTGTCTGCAGATGATCCAATAAAATCAGCAGCTGCTCGTTATCTGAGGGTGAAGACGGTAATTAAGATGTGAACCGGCGATAATCTCCTGATAAGGAGCTTTCTGCCTCGCTGCTGCTCGGGCTTCATTAGGCTGCTGGGACTCCCATCCACTTTTACTTCTGTTGTTATTGTAAAGGTGACCAGCATGGATTTCTTCGTTTTCTTCGTTAGGTGAATGCAGAGCAGAATTTTAAAAACGCTGGATTAACGTCCATCTGGGAGCCGCAGGAATAAACCAGGCGGATGAATCTCTGTCTGTCTTGGAACAAGAAGTTTTTCTCATGTTGAAAATGAGATAATTTGCCAATGAAACCTGCACTTTTCAGCAATGTTAATGAATTATTTACTGAAAACAGGCTCCCATATCTTGTTGAAAAGTTACTTAGTTTTATCGTATCTGAAGTGAGAAATTTTCACTTGAAACCAGACAAAAATGTTTTTGCAGAGAAACTTTAAGTCACCTGTTTGAGCTGATAAAGGATTTTGTATTAAATCAACAGACAAAGCAACAGTCAGCTCAGAAATAAAGCTGCAGAAAATTCCCATCAACTCTTGGAATATTTCAGGTAAATAATGACGGGAGCAGCTTTAGATGGGATCCCAGATAAGCTGAACTTTGGTCTCGGTTTGTTTTTGTTTCTGGTTTTATCGCCTCTCATGTGATTCTGATTTGAAAGTCAAATCGTTCTGATTTTCTCCTCATCCGTTTCCAAACATAACGCTTCCAACTCAAACATGCGTGTCGACGCGTCGGACTCCCAACACAAGGACACAAAGCGGCGCGACCTTGTTCGCCCCCATCATCTCTATCAGTGTAATTACAGCTCATCCATCTCGTCTGCCAGCAACTCAAGGACGAGGCTCCGACACGCGCAGCCTTTGTCTCCTTGTTACAGAATTATAATTTAGGAGGAATTGGGCTTTAATGGCGCCTCATATCTGGGTCGTTTATAACCATCAGCAGCCTCCAGCGCTCTGAGACGGAGGAAAACGCCAACAGATCCATCTTTATTTTTGCCCTTTTTCTATTTTTATACCAAACTGTGGAAAAGTCGCCTGACGGGAAAACATGCTTCCCAAACAGCCTCCGTGTTTCCAGTGGAGACCTGCAGGTTGAGGGCAGAGCATCCACAAACTCCAGCCTCTTTGTTCCTGCGGTGTCCAGCTGCGCTGCGGGCCCAACACGCCTCTGATGACACCCAAACATCCTCTGGGAGTTTGTTCAGCGCATCGCTAGCTTCCCTTCCCATTTTCGCTTTTTACCCCTTTTAAACCTGAGGCTGTTTTTTTTTTTTCTATTATTTTATTTTCCACTTGAGAGAGAAAAAAAAAAACATCCCTCCGTTCAGTCGGTAACGGCTCCATAACGGTGAGGCCGAAACGAAAAACCGCGACCTGAAAGACACTCCAGGGAATTCTGAAACACAATCCAGTCAGCCCGGAAAAATCCAACACACAACCTGAAAACTGGAGCCGTGTGAAGAGAAAATATCAGCCAGAATCGCTCACAGGCTGATTGATTTATTTACTTATTAAAACTGTTAGTCTTGTGGAAACCGGACAGATGATGATGATGATGATGATGTGAAAAATGGGAAAAAACTTTTTTTATCATTTAGAACAACGACTTTCCTCCAAAGATCCTTTCTCCTGTGTGTCGATCCGCAGGATGATTGGCTGATTTCTTATATTTTTTTCACATCTACAGTAAACACAGTCTCTGTTATTTAAAACTTTTGGGCTGAAAAGCCTTGGATGTTGGAATCCGGAACAACAACACAACACAGGACATTCCACTGCTGTGTTGTTTGTGAGCATAATGTTTTTCTGTTCAGAAAGTGCCTCGTCTGGAGACATTTCAATTGTTTTCTAGATGAAAACAGGAATCCCTCTGCAGCAATAATTAGCTGCATTTCTTTCTTTGTGTCTGAGCTGAATGAGTGGAAATGACACATTTAATGTTTCGTCCACAGACGTAGCAACACCTGACCGTTAGTTTGAGTATTAAAAGATGCAAATACACTAATTAATTCATTTTAAATCATTTATACAAGATTGCAAAATTGTTCTATTATTGGAATATTGACAAAGTTTTGCGTTCGTTACAATGAGCTGTGAAAGCTCTTAAATCCCCAGATGGGGTTCCAGCAGTTAGATTTTCAAACATCTTCTTTTAAACATTTATTTCTCATGACTTCCTCTTCCTAACTGGAAGAAACAACATATAAATGGTAAAAACCTTCATCTGAACAGAGTTCTGGAATATCAGATCATTTAGAAAGACCCGATGGACACATTTAAACGCTGCAGCAGTGGGAACCTTTCGGCTCGATGTTGAGCAGTACATCAGATCTCATTCTTCACACAGAGAACTGTGAACACATCCAATGGTTCTCCAGTCAAAACCATCAAAAAGCCCCAATTTTCCAGCAGAGTGTTGAAAGAACGGATTCTCTCAGCCTCTTCCTGCTGTTTGCCTGTGATAATCTGTGCAGACACGCAAGGCCTGATGGGAGATTAACAGGAAGCTGGGCTCCATTTCAAAACCCAGGATGTGTTCATTTTGTCAGGAGCCGAAAATCATCCAGAAAGCCGCAGATGCAGATTGTTGTGTCTACAAACATCTGCTGGATGGGCTCTGTGTGTCTCGTATTAAGATCGCTGTTTGGCCCGGAGGCAGCCGGGACGCTGCTGTCTGTTTGCAGAGCAGCTTCCTCCGACAGGAACGTTAATCCTGCCATGCCTCCTCTTCCTCCTCTTCTTCCTGCGACGCTCTGAGAGGAGGGCAAATAAAACGTCAACCGTCCCTATCCTGACCAATCAAACGGCTCCGTCTGTCACAAACGCTTTCTCCTTCTGTCCGGCGTTAATAAACGCTGCAGTCGGCGCGCCGCACTCAGGAACTCAGTCTGGTTTTACTACGGGTCTGAGGGACTCAAAGCAATAAATCAATTAATCAATCAATCAATCAATCAATCAATCAATCAATCAATCAATTAGCTAAGAGAGTTGAGCAGCTAAACCCTTTCACTTACATTTCCCAGAATGCTGTGCAGTTCAATGAATATTCTATGTGTTGAATATTAAATATTCAATCTGATGTAACATCTATTGATATTGATCATGTCTATCAAGTATTGATTTATAGTCTGAATCCGGTGCAGTTTGTCTTTTTATTGCTACTAAAAAGTGTCTGCAGAGCATCGGTTCAGTAATTTGAACTTTGAGGTCAAAGGTTAAACCGGATCTCCTGTGAAGTGACTGAAGCTACTCTACACACCTGAACCGTTGTGCAAACAAGCTAACGAGACAGAAAACGATGTTGGGGCTCTCAGCAGATGTAGGCTGGTAATAACGTCTTTATGGTGAGAATAAAAGTTCATCAGGCAGCAACAGGAGTCGTTTCCGTCTGCGACGCAGCGACTCATCCTGGGACTCTTCCAGCTTTCATAATCAGCTCTCCATTGTTCTCCCCTCATAAACAGCTGCTTGTCTGCTTCCTTTATTGTGATGCGTCTCAGTGAGAATCCCTGTTCCTGTAATGAGAAGCTTCTCCTTCAGCGAGGATTAGAGAATCCGAACAAACGGAGGAATGACCCGCTGCGCTGGCCGTGCTTCACTAAACCCGTCTTTAGCTTTTAGCTCATTATTCCCATCAACCGGCTGAGTTTTTATCAGGTGCAACATTTCAACATTTAACAGCTACAGGTGAACGTTGTCCAGGTTCAGACAGGAAACGCCGTGGATCATGTTGGCATTTAGCTGGAAAATACCTGAAACCTGCAGCACTGATATGTCGGGTTTTATGGGATCTGTCAACGTAATGCAGACATTTAATTTAATTAGAAATATTTAATTAATATTAAATAATTATGAATCATTTGAAGAGTTTTACAAATAAAACTAGATTTGTGCCGTGTTTTGAATCCCTCTGAGTTTTGGATTTTGAGTTTTTGAGAAAAGCCAAAGGTCAGTCAGACTGGATGGAGAACATCAGATTCTCAGCCGGTTTCACATCAAGACTTTGACTAGGCCATTCCAGTGTCACCAAAGGGCTCTTGGCTGCTTTTTTAAAAATAATCTGATCTGAATCTCATCCATCTGACTCGGTGTAGCAGCTGCAGTAATATTTTAACTTCGTCTTTCTCTGTTTCGTATGGAAGCCCATTTCTGCCATGAATTACAAAATAAAAGCCCAACAGGAAGTCATCATAGTTTGAGATATAAAGTCAGGCTGTTTCTTAAAGGAGGTTTGATTCTGTGGAAGACGTGTATCATAATCAAATTATGACTTTTATATTTCATATAAAGAGTCCCTCTGGACATGCAGGTTTTCTTTCTGTTTAAAAGTGTTAAGTTCCTTCTAGTGTCTATGATTTATTGATTTTCGGTTTTATTTTAAGAAAACCATGAGGACTTATTAATCTGTAAATTAATAAATATCCTCCTCTTTATTGATTTATTCCCCTGAGTTCCCATAAAATCCAATGATGACAGAAAATGTCACATTAACATCCAGTAATGACAATAAAGGTCAGATTAATGCGCCGACAGATCATAAACTGCAGGTAAGGTCAGTATTTAGTATAAAACTGCTGCTTCTGTTACTTTCATCAGAGATTAAGGAGATTTAATGACAATAAAATTTTTTAATGATCCAGAGTTTGAAAACTTTCATGTTCAAACCTTAAAAGTATGAAAAAACCCGACATTATCACAATAACTAGCATTAATTGAACAGCAGCGCTTTGTATTAATGATTTACTTTGGATCTCTTAACCTTGTAATCAGTAAACATTGTCAGATTTTTCTGTCAATTATTAATCAGTTAATCTGAAAGGTAATCACCAGATCAGCCTAATTGAAATGAGAAATTGAACTGAACTTTTCTGATGTTCAAAATATTTTTTCTCCGCAGTGACTATAAACGAAGAAACGCTCAGTAAAGGAATGCTGCTGTTACATTTTATTATCTTAAAAATGAAATTGAATTGTTTGTTTGCATCTTTGACTTTATTCCTAAAGTAAAACAAGTTTTTACAAACATCCGATTAATTACTAAAGTAACCGCCTTCCTCTGTCTGCAATACAAAAAGAATTGAAGTCTTGATGAAACGTCAGTTTTGTCTGTTAGACTGAAACCAGACAGAACTTTTCTGGTTCTGCTCCCTCTGAAGTGGACGCAGATGTTTCGTCGCAGATGTTTCGTCTTGATTTGTCTTCCTGGGGTCGTGACCCTTGTGGCGGCGCCCGCCCGCTGTCGTGTCGTCTGATTGGACCGATCTGTGGCGCGGCGGTGCCGGGTCGGCGCTGCTTCCGTTGGCCGTCTGAGGCCCGTTGATCCCGGAGTCAAGGACCAGAACCGGCCGAGGCGCCGTCAGCGTCGCTACCGGTTGTTAAACCATCCATCAAATTACCGTGGCAACCAAGCGTCCATCACCCCATCCATCATCCAAGGGCAACAGACGGAGCGCCACGGCCGGCAGGGACGTCACGGACGAGCGAAGAGATAACAAGGAGAGGAGAGAGAGAGAGGCTGGATCCGCCGTCTGATTGGAGGAGAGAATCCTGAGCCAGTGAAACCCGACTGCAGCTGTGAAGCCGGAACCAGATTTGATGTTTTTCCCTCATCAAAAATAAAACCTGGAGTTTTACTTACATTTTAATGCAATTTTAACAAATTCGTTAATCTCCATGGCAACTATATTGTTGTGCAAATGCCTGGGTGGACCTAGCCCCGCCTTCCAGTTGTAGCTCCTCCCCCTCAGCTCCGCCAGACTAGCCAACAGCAATTAGCAAACAGCTGGGAGCTGCTGCTCAGGGATAAAAACCTTGTTAAATAGAGAAGCCATGTTGTGATGACATCCTGGAGGCGGAGCTTCGAAAGAGCAGGAGTTTTTAAAGAGACAGAGGCTCAATTTCAACGTGTTAAAATACTTAACAGTTCTTCTACAGTCATATATGATACAAACATTTTATAACACCTGAAGCCAACACTGATTGCTCTGTAAAACACACAAGGCCTTCATTTTAGATACCTGAATTTAAAAGTTTTTAGTTGTTTTCTGGACGCCATGTTTCAGTCGGGAAGCTCCTCCTCACAGCTGATGGATTTCCTGCTTCTCACCTGGAGGTAATTTAAAGTTTCAGCTCCAGCTGAGCCACGTGTTTTTGTCTCTGGGGGAAATCCACGCAGTAGCGGCTGCCTGTCTCCACCGCTGCCTCGGTTTCAGCTAACTTCAGCCTGAAGGGAGCAAAACTCTGAAGCCTGCTGGAAAATGCGAGGCATTCTGGATCTCAGCGGGAAGAACACGACCGCAGGCGTTTAAGGAATCCTCAGGAGACTCGTCTGAATTCAGCGGCTCCCCGGCGGCCGGCACACATTTCAATAAATCCTCTCACTCTGAGCCGATATGCAGTCAGCTGGCTGCAGCCGGATGAGGAGACGCGAGCTGCATTTTTATTCAACAATCACTACAGAGCTGGATCCAACCGGGCCGGGACTCTGGTTCTGTTGCACCTCTCTGCTTCATGTTTATTCTTTCAATAAAAACCTAAAATATTCAGCAAATCTGTGAGTCATGAGTGAAAATATGGCAACTGTATAACCAGAGATTCAGGTGCCGTTCATATTTTATGTTATTTTCATTTGGATATTTTGGGATTTATCAACAAAAGTAGTGAAAAGTTAAGTGGAGGAAGATATTTCATTGTTTAAAAAAAACCAGGACCGCTAGATTTAAACAGAAAAACATCTTTGAAATTTAAATTTGAAATTTTAATCTCATGCACTGAAATAAAATCCAAAGCAAATGCATTGAAACATCATCTAATGCTTGTGGACTGTTGTCGACAATTTGCCTCAAACATCTTCAGGCCTCGTTCCAGTCGAGATGGAGCAGATTTCCCACTAAAACCTGCCAATGCATGTTGCAAAAGTACATTAGAAGCTTCTCATCTCTCCCCTGATTGGACGACAAAACATAAATTCAGACCAAATCTGTGATTTTCCCAAAATGAAGGAGTTTTTGGAGGATAGTGCAGTAAAAATGTGCTGAGTTTGACTCTGTAAAAAGGTTCTGAATCCATTTCAGAACCAGAATCCGTCACAGGCTGCAGAAAAACCTGACGGGCAAATTTCCCATAAAATAATTCAATCTAAGACGCAGCAAACATGTTTTCAGTAAAATCATGACTGTCTCACCTGATCTGCAAGTAAAGTCTGGAGACAAAACTCACAATAAAAGCTCATTCTGCTCCTTCCTGCAGACGCTTTGTGCTGAATTAGTATTTAAGCCGTGAAGCAGCCAGAGAGAGTTTTACTGTTAGCATAAACTCTGCATTGGTTACATCATGTTCTCTGACCCTTAGCGCCTCCACACAGACACTTGGAGAGTGGTCATAAAAGCGCCGGATCGATTTCTCCCAGCATGAATCCAGAGGAATGGCCCTTTTGTGTCAGGGTTTGATCCATCTCGTCCCGCCGTATTCAGAGCGTCTAGACCGGCCCTTTAATTTAATTTCTGTTTCTGTGCGTGCGTGCGCAGAGCCGACAGGAAGCCGTCTGGCTCGCCTGCTAATAAACATGCTGGAACACGCCTTCGGTGCGTGAGAGAGGGAATCATCGGACGCTGTGATCAGAATACAGACCAGACTGAAACTGACGGCCTTCAGTCGAACTGATTAACTGAAAAACAATCAGACCAGCTCAGTTCTGGGATCCACTCTGGAGCAGATTATGGGAATCCATCACATAATCTGGGAAGGATTCCCAAATAATCTGGGAAAGATTCCCAGATTATTTGCTGAAAATTCAGCGTTTCCCTTGGATCTGAAACATTTCAAGAAAATGCAGTTTGGGAGTTTGGAGAACGTTTGCTGGGTTTCAATTAGCTACAAGTTAAAAAGCTAGAATTTCAACATAAACATTCAATCAGAGTGGAAAAACCAAAATAAAATAAATAAAACTGACAGAAACAATATGCTGACTGCCTGTAAAAATAAACTAACAAATCTTCTTTCAAATGGCCCCGAAAGTGCAGTTAGTAATTCTAAATGTAAAATAAATAATGAAGCATAGAATTAGACTGAATAGATCTGCCCTCTGTCACGATACTTGATCTACATGAACCGATACAGATATTGGTATTGATATTTTTGTTCCAGGACTAAATGTTCATCAGAATGTTCTCACAATGTTATCGTTTATTGAAACGATTGATCCAACTCGTCTCTGTCCGTCCTCAGATCCGTCTGTACGCCCGGCCGGACGCCGTGTCCAGCGGCGCCGGCGACTACGCTCTGCACATCACCAAGAGGCTGCTGGGATTTTATGAGGATTACTTCAAAGTGCAGTACTCCCTGCCGAAGCTAGGTAAGGCTGCGGATGTCCCGGATCTGGTTCTGCTCAGCTGTGAACTTTGTGTCCAGTTCAGGAGATGTTCATGTTTCTGTTCAGGTTGTCTTCATTCTGCTAGAGTTCTGTTATCTCTGATTCGGTTTGGGAAGTTGACCTTTGGCCCTCTGTGTCAAAGGTCAGACAGTCTGTTGATGTTTTCTTCAGCTTCAGAGGTTTATCAGTGGATTTCTAGCTCCTCCTAACTTAATTTATTTGTATAAAAATCTTTGAAAAAAACTTACAGCTTCTAAATTTTAGAAGCCGGGTTGTTTGGGAATGAGCTGCTGCATCATCTTCAGGGATTCTTTATATTGTCTTTTAATTTTCTACATTTAAATCTGCAAGTCCCTTCATTCTCTCTTATAAACAAAAATTTTTTGATTCTGCTAATTAAAAACCTTGTAAGTGTCATTTTAACTTTCATCAACAGGTTGAATATTTAAGTTTTGAACTGAATTGCTGAGGTTATTTTTATAATTTGAGGAGCACCTTTACTATATTTAAAGTATTATCTCGTTAAAAGCAGAATTTCTGCTTCCTGTAAAGCTGAAACTTTCCTGTTTGGACCAAATACGTTTTTCGAGTGTCTGGGTTGAAATAACAGCTGTCATTGGAGCGACTCTGAAAACTGATGTGTCGTTGTTTTCTCTGCAGTGCAGAGGGCTGAAGGAGCGTAGTTCATGTTTTGGTCATTGTGATTTCCATTCGGAGGCGTGACTCTCATCCAGAGGAACAGCAGCCCCATCGTTCCTTTCTAACCTTGTTTTCTGCTCTCTGCTTTACTTAGTTTTGTTTTTATTCAGTCAGCACTAAAGTTGGGCCTTATTTTAGTCGGCGATGCTGTAATTTAATATTTTTTTTAACAGAAAAATAGTTGGAATATGACCTTGACTTTTAAGGAGATCAATAATTATGTTAGTATTGGTTTATTTTATCCATTATTCTGAGTAATTGGCATATACTGCAGTGTGTTCAATATGATTGAAACAATTTTTTTAAACAAATTGTTTCGAAAATTTTATTTTTTTATTGCTCGACTCAACATTAGTTAAATTAATAATCCACTATTATTATTAGTCAATTAGTAGTGGATTAATTAACTAATAACTGGATGCAAACGGTGCTTAATTGATTTTTCTTACAAAATTTGAACCAGATGACGTGTTTTTTTTTCTTAATTGCAACAAGTTTTTATTTATTGTACAGTTTTGGCTTCATTATATATTAATTTCTATTTTTTGCGTACCCCAGAATAACTTACCTGCTTTAAAACAACTTTTTTCATGTAAATTAAAGTGATAAATAGTTTCCAGATGAAATATTTAATCTGGAAATATTTCAGACAGTATTGACCATTAGTGGGCCAGTGGCACCCTGTGACCCCCTTTCGGCTCCGGCCCTGCCACCGGCTACTTTTGCTAAATCTGAACTAAACTGAGTAAAAACCAGGTTTCCTGTTTCCTCTGTGGCTTGAGGCCTTTTGCTTCCACCAGATGTATTTCTAACTTTTTGTATTTGGACTCATTAAACATTTACAGTCCAGAAGAAAACGACTCAGTTCAATGTTGGTTCTTTTAAAAAAAAAGAAAGAAAGACCTTCAGCTGAAGTCGACATTAAGAAATAGAGGCCATTAATTTTAATAGATATAAAAAGGCTACACGGGAAGAAAATCTACAATGAGGTCAAAGTGTTTTCAGCTCACAGTGATGCACTTTATCTGTTTCAGAGGAACCGCTCATAATCATCCGAAGAAACAAGGCATTAAAAAAACACTTTGCTTTATTTCTGTGACGGATTACACATTTTATTACACATTTATTAAATATCAGTAAAAAACTGTGGATAAAATCAGACGATCACTGGCAGCTGAAGAGCTTCATTAATTTTTTTCTACAAACATAATTATTAAACAATTAGCTAAAAAATCCTTAACAACCTTTGAGCAACAAGATTCTATTTGATCTTTTTAGATGTTTATTAGTAATTATAATAAGATCTATTCTGCAAAAAATAAACTAAGATAAGATAAAAATTAAAGATATGCAAGGTGTAAGAGTTAAATATGACCTAAATTTTACTTTGATAAATGTACAGGCAGCAAATTTATGCTAATCTGTAAAATAACAACAGCAGAAATGTGAGAAAAAATCAGTTATTTGGTTGTTTTACAGTAATTGAATTTATCTTTTGAAAATAGTATCTTGTGTTGAGTCTTCATCATCCAATCAATGTTCACATAATTGAATTCTGCACCTAGAAATGAACCAAAGCATGAAAAATTAAAACCATAACTGTAACTAATTCAAACTAAACAAAGAAAAAAAAACAAAATTTAACTAATAAAAACTAGCCAACACTCTAGAAACTAATTACAACTAAACTATAATAAAAAACCCTAAAACTATTCTAACTGGTCCGTAGGGAAGGAGTCGTCACCTGGACCTCTCAGCCAATGAGAAGCCTGCTTTAGGAAACAGGTCGTTTAAAATAAAAATATGTATTTTGATCCTTTCCAATAGTTTGTAGATAAAATAATTGTTTATGGTTTTACATTCAATGTTTCAGGTTTAAATCTAAAGGATAATATTTACAATTATGATTGATTGTTCAAAGTTTTCTGAACTTGTAAATTAATATGAAAGATATTTTAGCACATTCAGAGGAATTCAAACAGCATTTCTTATGAGAATAACATCTGAGTCATAAAAGCACTGCTGCTGGAAAACTTTAAAAGGACGATTAATGAACACAAAGAGTCGGTTTTAGGTTGTCATGGGAACACTAATCAGATGCCTTCAGCAGCTGTTTGGCTTTTTAAACTCGTTTCTTATGTGAGACATATGTTTATGTCCTCCTCTCTCCTGTCGGAGTTAATAAATCCAATCTAAACAGTCAGAATCCATCTCTTTACATCTCCTGTCTTGCTTTGTTTTCCTGTTTGTTTGTGTTTTACGCTCCTTTGCTGCCAGAGACAATTAGCCGCGTTAAAGTGGAGCGTTTCCTCGTTTCATCTCCACGCCCAGACGAGCTAGCTGGCGTGATCACTGCGCCTCCATATTGGATAAGTCAGACACTTTGTCCTTGTCCACATTCATTCGTCACATTAGGAATTCTCTTTCAGTCCGACTTCCTGTTTGTTGGTGCGAGCCTGGAATAGGTCTGACATTTAATTTTCCTCTCTTGACCTTTGCTCTGATATTAGCTGCATTAACAGGTTGAACCAAACTGAGATGATGTGCTGCAGATCAGGTCACAGAAAGGTCAAAACCTTTTCACCAACTGGTCAGGAGAGCTCAGAAGATTTTTACCCACTGACTGTGGGACTAGATATTTAAACTGTTGAAAGCTTTTAACTGCATTAAAACATTTACTAATCTCTTTGTCTCTAAAAGTAAATATGAATTAATGAGCCGTAGCAACAGATTTAATACCTGAATGCTTCTCTGTTTCAGTTTTAACATAAAAAGTTATACTAAAGATTTTGTGGCAGTTATTTCTGTCCTTTGTTTATATTACAAAAATATTGCAAATATTTTTGTAAATGTTTTAAATTATTACATTTTTAACAATTATTATGATAATCTGACCCTTCATCAACTTATTAGCATCGGGACCTTTAGCATTAAAGGCACTGAAACTATTGAAGCATAACTACACTTAATGTTAGTGCTGTTGGGGTTAAAGCTATTAGCATTTGTGCTGTTAGCACTAGCATCTAGCATGATGGATTTTAGTATAAAAGCCTCAAACATGACAGCTTAAATGACACGTCTGTTAGCATTTCTCCACGTTAGCACAGGGTTGCCAAAAAACCAAAAAGAGCATTTTCTGCTTGACCAAATTCTCTCCAAATGTCCAGAAGCTTTCAGCAGCTCGGCTTTTTGCTGAACTGACGACACAATTAGTAACCCAGACAACACAAGCTGCTGCTGTCTGTTGAACAGATGAACTTGTAGAAATATTTTGTCGTCATTACCATAATTACTAGCATCATTTTGCCAGACAGATGAAATGAGCTTTAATTTTTCCACTTAACTTTTGAAGCATCTCCCGTCGCTGTGGTGAAACCTGAGCAGGTTAGCTTATTAGCTTATTAGCTTGTTTCAGAGCAGAAACAAAAAGCTGCATTTCTCCATCTGTCCCTGTTGTTGGACCACAGGCAGGAAACCAGAACTTAATACGCAGTTCTTAAAGATACAGCTGCCTGCTTGTTTAGATTCTGAATGAGAAATTGTTTCATAATCATTGTGTAACTATCAGCGTGTTTAAAGGCCTTGATCCTGACTGTTTTAGATCCTTTATTCAGAACTTCCAGACTTCTAAAGACTTTACCCTAAAAGAAAACAAAAGTATCAAAGATTCTTTTTTTTTTGTTTTTTCATTTGGATTTCTACTACTTCTAAAAACAAATGCCAACATTCAGCGTTTATTGGTTTTGGAAAATGATCCGTTGAAAAATTTTCTGATTAAGTCACGTTGCCCCGTTATCGTTGGTAGCGGTAACACCCCATCGGGAAAGCGGGGTCCCAGACGGGCACCGCAGCTGGGGAGATCCGCGGCGGCGGCGTCCAGAGTCGCCGCCGGCCCGCCTTCCAAGCCGGCGTTGGACACCGCCCAGCGAGGGGACCGCAGGCCGCGCGACGTCGGCCCAGGGTTCAACCTAAGCTGAGCTCCAGCACATTTGGTCAACGGGTTTTTCTGTTTTGTTGTTGACTTACAGAAACCACTTATTGCATTCTTGTTGGTTGCGCAGGAGGCTCCACTTCTGCTTTTCTAGAATGTACGGCTGTAGAATTGTGATTCTGAGTTGACAAGCAGCTTAATAGGATTTAAAGTGACAGAGGCCTTAAAACAGCTCATTCTGACACAACCAGACAAAGTCAGATTATCTAATATCGGTTTTTGTAAAAAAAAATGAAATGAATAGACCATAAATCCATCCTCATAAGTCGATTTTAAATTCGGCCAGGCGTTG